GTTTTTATTTAATAGAATTTTTGGACAAAAAAAATCGCAATATACATGTTGCCTTGCTTACAGTATCACAATATATCGGGATATATCGTATCGTGACCCCTCTGTTATGATATGTATCGTATCGCCAAATTCTTGCCAATACACAGCCCTAGTGCGTACCCACCAACTTTCAGCACAAAGTTACGCCCTTGCTTATTAGTAATCTAAGTGGWATCGGGTGAACCTGGTGACTGTTAAATCAGGTTCAGATGAATCAAATGTCCAGTAAATAGTTCAGATTCCTGCAGTGGTGTAGTAACAACATGCAGATTTAGAACGGCAACTTTGTTCGGCCTTGTACTGTCCGCAGATGACACTGTTCTTGAAAAGTAAACACTCATCTGGTTCCCACTCAGACAACACGCTGGACGAAAATCCATGAACTCGGTCGAACATTGGCCTTTACTATCAGGGTGACACCCGGGTCCTTGACTCCTCTGTCCTACAGTAAGAGCCCCGACCTTCTACAAACACTTTATCTCTCGATGTCGCTGATTTTTGCATCTTAAAATCCCGAATAATGAACTCAAGAGTCCGTTATTTTTCACCACTGGATGGGTTGTTCATTAAAGGGAAACACACTGCGATAATGAAAGTTGACATCAGGTTTTTGTGCAAACATCCACAACTCTTACAGCTTTTTTATACACTTTTTAAGATTTGCTTTTGATTTCATATTTGCACTGATTTAAACTTTGGGCTGAACGTCTGGCTTCCAGATGTGAAGCAAGTTTTGCACAAGTCCTGGCAATCTCAGACCCACAAAACTTCACCGAAAATCTGAGTTTAAGATGACCACTGAGGATGCATTTACAGCAATAAAACGACCCAATCGTTGGAACCCTTCATTTTTGAGTTTCTCCCAGACTCAGGCCAGTCGTGACACATCCTTTTAAATYCAACTCTGACTAGGTGTGTACCTGGGTGCACTCAGAAGCAGGYAAGTTGCTCAAACTTGAACAAACGGAGCAAGTTGTCGTGTTAGGCAAGATCAATGTACGTGCTTCCTTTGTGTTGTAACAGAGGAAGACGTAAAGTTTGACTATAGATAAATTCAGACCCGGTGGTTTGTCTCAGTGCTGAGAACTCGTTGATGAGGTATCTAGAATCGGATGAAGGTCACATTGTTCTCCAGCTCTGTCGAGGCTGGTGGCCTCKGAGTTTTTATTTTTTTTCATTGCTGATAAGCTTTCCGGCTCACCCTGAGATATTCTGTTTGCTCTTACTCTGTGATAAACTGTAAAAGCTCAACATGCTGGCTCCTGTCTCGCTGTGAACTTCCAGCCACTACGTCAAACTTTAGCTCAACATTTGTAACGCTGACTGAGTTTTAACCACTTTTGTGTTTGTGTAAAGCATCTAGACTAAGTGACTCAGCTGTACATACATGATTTGGTGAAGTCTTGGGATATTTTGCTAACAAATGCGCACACAGATGCAGGTTAAAAAAAATAAAAACGTGCACGCAGGTGGAAATAGACGACAGCACGGTCTGTCAGAGGAAGCGCCAGCTCACAGACACTGCTCTGTTTTTCTTGCCCCGGGTGTTTTTATCAGTCATCTCTCAGAAGAGATTGAACAAGCAGATCAAGGATTCAAAGAAAAAACATAAACAATCATTAAATCTACAGCTCTGAAACTCAGACCTGTTAGAGTAAAAAAGGAAAACTTTTACAACATTTCTTTTAAAATCCTGTTGTTAATGTTTGTGTTTTATTTTTCTGTAAATATATGATCTAACTACTTCTATATGCTTGATATTTCAGCCATTCATATATCAAAATGTTTTTTTATTTTGGAGTTTTACGTTTAGCTTTTTCATATACTTTTCAAAATACTTTTATTTATTTTTAATTTTAACCTTAACGTTAAAATCCATTAAAACATTCTGCAGCACACTTGTTGTTTTCTCAAAGCTAACACTTTCCAGCTTTTGGCTAACGTTTTGCTACTTTTAGCTAGCTTTTGCTGCTTTTAGAGAGTGCTGCTTTTAGTTACATGAAGTTTTTAAGTATTTTTTTCTACATTAATGTGGATTTTGCTGCTTTTAGCAAACATTTTACTACATTTAGCTTTAAGCTGCACTTTTGCTACATAGCTTTTTAGCTTACATTTAGCTACTTTTAGCTTTTACGTAGTGTCTATTTTTACATTGAGCTTGCCTTTTGCTGCTGCTAACATTTTGCTACTTTTAGCTTTAAGCTGTACTTTTGCTACTTAGCTTTTAGTTAGCATTTGCCACTGTTAGCCTTTTGCAAACTTTTTGCTRCTTTTGGCTTTTAGGTAATACTTGTCTACATTTAGCCATCAGTTTGCTGCTTTTGGTCTGCACTTTTGTTGCTTTTATCTTTAAGCTGCCATTTTGCTATTATGTAGCTTTTACCTAATTGCTACTTCTAGCTAGCTTTTTCTGCTTTTAGCTTTTAAGTATTGCTTCCCTACATTAAGCTATAGCATTTTGCTGCTTTTAGTTTGCTTGTAGAACATTTTACTACTTTTAGCTAAATGCTATGAATTTCGTGGAACACTGGACCAGCTCTACACCCTCAGCAGAGTCATGGAGGGTGCATGGGAGTTTGCCCAACCAGTCTACATGTGTTTTGTGGACTTGGAGAAGGCATTTAACCATGTCCCTCGGGGACTCCTGTGGGGGGGTACTCCGGGAGTATGGGGTACCAGGCCTGCTGATACGGGCTGTTAGGTCCTTGTATGACCGGTGCCAGAGCTTGGTCCACATTGCCAGTAGTAAGCTGGACTCTTTCCAGTGAGAGTTGGACTCCGCCAAGGTTGCCCTTTGTCACCGATTCTGTTCATAACTTTTACGGACAGAATTTTATGGACAGAATGATTTGGTTAATGTGTCAGGGTTGGTTAAATGTATTTTATTTGCAGATGATATTAATTATCTAAGAACAAAAATTGCTAAATCTATTGGACTATTGTATAAAGTAGGGAGTTATTTAATGATAGAGCTCTGTTTATGTTGTATAATGTAATGATTGTTCCACACTTGATTTATTGTGTTGAAGTCTGGGGGAAAGCATGCAAAACAATTATACATTCGTTTTGGTGACCTTAGGATCACATCTCTGCTTTTTGCGGATGATGTGGTCCTATCGGCCTCATCAGATCCTGATCTGCAGCTCTCACTGGAGCGGTTCGCAGCCGAGTGTGAAGCGGCCGGAATGAGGATCAGTGCCTCCAAATCCAAGACCACGGTCTTGAGCCAGAAACCGGTAGCGTGCCACCTCCAGGTCGGGGAGGAGGTTCTGCCCCAAGTGGAGGAGTTCAAGTATCTCGGGGTCTTGTTCACAAATGAGGGAAGAATGGAGCGGGAGATCGACAGACGGATCGGTGCTGCATCTGCAGTGATGCAGGCGAGAGCTGAGCCAGAAGGTGAAGCTTTCGGTTTACTGGTCGGTCCACGTTCCTACCCTCATCTATGGTCATGAGCTTTGGGTAGTGACTGAAAAAACGAGATCGTGGATACAAGCGGCCAAAATGAGYTTCCTCTGCAGTGTGTCTCCCTTAGAGGGAGGATGAGAAGCTCAGTCATCCTGGAGGGACTCAGAGTAGAGCCGCTGCTCCTCCACGTCAAGAGGAGCCAGTTGAGGTGGCTCAGGCATCTGGTTAGGATGCCTCCTGGACGCCTCCCTGGTGAGGTATTCTGGACACGTCCCACTGGGAGGAGGCCCAGAGGAAGACCCAGGACACGCTGGAGGGACTATGTTTCTCAGCTGGCCTGGGAACACCTTGGAGTTCCCCCAGAGGAGCTGGTCCATGTGGCTGAGGAGAGGGAGGTCTGAGTCTCTCTGCTTAGACTGCTGCCCCCACGACCCGACACCGGATCAGCGGTAGAAAACGGATGGACGGGCAATGAATTTACTAGCTAGGTTTTACATTTGACCACTTTTAACTGCTTTTAGGTAGTGTTTTTCTACATACATTTAGCATTTGGTAGCTTTTAACTTGTCTCTTGCTGCTTTTAGCTGGAGTTTTTGGATTTCAACTAGAATTTAGCCACAATTTTGCTTTAGATTTTTTTTGGCTGTTTTCAGCTTGGACAGCTACAGTTTTTGCTTCTTTACCAAATTTGACCAAATCAATTCAGCACTCAACAGTCGCAACATTTGGGCATCTGCTATTCAGCCAAACTGGATTTAATTAAAATGATTGTTTTTCATTAAGTCACATGACAACACTCTCTGTAGGCCTACATGTTGCCCTGACATGGTCACAAACAGACCGCTTCATCCCTGACGTTTGTGCCCAGAGGCGAAGTTTTTAAAAGAAGCTTCCAAGATTTTTGACAAATTAATGTCTTGATTAAGTGAATTCACAAAAAAAGCATGAAGCCAAACAAAAACGGGAAAAAAGGAATGAAAAGTTTGTTATGAATCTTAGCAGCTATTAAACGAGCATCGAATCTCATCACAGCAGAGTGGAACAGATGCCAAAACCCACCTGTAAAAATTAAACATTTCACTTAAAGAAGTCTCCAAAATTGGTGCCAAAAAACAACAAGAAATGGCACAAAGTTGGAAAACTTCTCAACTCTTCATGCGTAAAATGAAAAGATGTCACCATAAATCCAACTGAGAGAAGTTGGACTCATTCCCATTTCCTAATCAATCCACGTGAGTAATAGGGATTTTTCACGTCTGTTCGCAGAACTGCTCACGTTGTCCCATGACACAGAAAAGGAGGCGGGTTCAGTGATCAGACAGGCTAGGGTGAAAGAGGAGGAGCAACATGTCTGTGAAGTTTAAAGCTCAGGACAAACCTGCCCTCGATCCTCTCCAAACTTTTACGCACCGACAGTCTGTGGATGTAACTTCTGATCCAAYTGTCAGCATCCAGGATGAGTAACAGAACGAACCGGACCATGGACCCGGGCTGCATGGGCCAGCCTCCTGTCGCCATCCAAATCATTCAGAGTGAGTGGACCCGGTTCTGGTGCGCGCGCGAGATGAGGGGGGTGGTTCGGGGTCGCTTTGAGGGAAGCCTGTGATGAGCGGAGCTGCACTTTTACGCACAAGGAGATCTCCCCTTCTGGAATTTTAATTAGTGTGTGTGCGATTTTTCTGTTGAACTGCAGAGTCATGGGGAGGAAAACCGCT